GCTAACAGCCATCCATAACTTAAAATAAAATCAAATAAATCTGGGGGAAAAAAGAGGGTCTAGTTAGATGGCTCAGTGAGTAAAGTTACTTGTCAAGCCTGGCAACCTGAGCTCTATTCCCAGAACCCACATGGTGGAAGGAGAACTGACTCCTCCAAGTTGTCCTCTGACCGCCACACTGCTGCCTTGCCATGACACATGTACAATTACTCACTCACCACCCCCAAACACAAAATAAATGTGGCTTATTTTTTATTTATTTATTTATTTATTTATTTAAATTTTATGTGTGTTATGCCTGCATGTATATAAGTGCACCTGTTTTATGCAATGCCCTTGGAAGACAGAAGTAGGCATCAGATCCCCTGGAACTGGAGTTATGGATGGTTGTTAGCCACCTTGTGGGTGCTGGGATTCAAACCTGGGTCTTCTGCAAGAACAGCCACTGTTCTTAACCACTAAACCATCTCTCCAGCTCTGGAGGTGCCTTGGATAAGATTATAATCTGACAAAGTAAAACCAAGAACCACTGGGGTTGCACAGCAGGTTAAGACATGACCTTTCACTGTAAAGGGGGATTCTGGTGAGATTCCTATATAACTGTAGACATACAGTGGGAGAAGAGAAAGGCCATAAACAAATGCTACTGATGGCACTGTAAATAGCTTATGAGAGCTTTAACCAGATTTCTCTGAGGGCTCCTTTCCTGCCTTATGTCCCCTGCGGCATTACCATGCCACATTACAGTTAATATCTAAATAAAGCAGCCTAACTCTTAACTTTAATTTTTAAGAGTGGGCCTGAACTTGGAAGATACCCATGTCCCCAGACGTCTCTTGGAACTGTGTTCTGGAACTGTCTTCAAGTCAGGCATCCCCATAATTTTACTCAAAACTGTTTCTCCAGCTTCAGTTGGGGAAGTGCAAGCTGGGATCAACCCTTACCTTACCATCTTGGCTTTTCATTCCTAGTTCTAGAACATCTCATACACACAATGTCAAGCATCCTTTCTCAATCTTCATATTTTCAGTGAAGATGCAAGTGCTGCCTTTTGGCACTTTGATATGTTAATTTTCAAGCATACCCACATTCATTCCTTATCTTCAGGTGGAATAGAAAACTGAGGTTCCCAGGAAACAAGATCAGGTGCCCAGGTCACAAGAGCAGATTCTTCAGTGAGTTTGCCAAGGTTAATTAAAAGTCATCAGTGCAGCTGGGTGTGGTGGTGCACATGCCTGTGGTCCCAGCACTTGGGAGGCAGAGGCAGGCGGATCTCAGTGAGTTCAAGGCCAGCCTGGTCTACATAATGAGTTCCAGGACAGCTGGAGCTACAGGGAGACCCTGCTTCGAAAAGACTAAAAACAAACAAACAAACAAAAAACAACAACAACAGAGATCCGCCTGCCTCTGCCTCCCGAGTGCTGGGATTAAAGGCATGGGCCACCATGCCCTGTAGGTAGTTTTTAACTCATTTTCCAAGTCTAGACTTGAATAAAACTCTTTCCACCACCACTCTCTGTCTCCAGGTTTCTTTTGGTAGAGGTATGGGTAATAGGACTTCCAGGCAAACAAGATCAGATTGCCCCTTCATGGATCTAAACTTCAAAGTCCTAAACTCAAGTCTTTTCCACTGCTTGACTCTGCCTCCAGGTGGATTTCAAAACAAGTAACGTGAACACTTGGACTGTGCTGACCATGTGAAAAAAACTGGATTTTTAAACTTTTGTTAGGATATGATTGTACTGAAAAAAATTTTATGAATTGCTGGATGTAGCTCAGGCCAGCCTCAACCTGGATATGTAGCTGAGGATGACCCAGAACTTGTGATCCTGCCTCCACCTCCCAAGTGTTGGGATTTACAGGCATGTGTCACCATGCCCCATTTATGCAGTGCTGAGGAGCAGACCTAGAGCTCTGTGCATGCTAGACAATCCAACTGGGCTGTACCCCAACACATAAATTCAATATTGCATATGCTTCACCACAAAACAGAAACAATTCAGCGGATTCCTTATATATTTAGAATCAAATGCAGCCTGTATAAGGGCCCACAGAAGCCTCTGTGTGTTAGGGTTCCAAATAGCAGCTCCCCCCACTCCCCAACAGGGACCTCCAAAGATAAGATAAGCAGAGTTCCTCTTATCTTAAGAGGAAAAAGAAAACACTTCCACACCCTAATCCTACCTGCTTCCCCCTCCCTGATTTCTCCCCCAAACATTCCCTCCTTCCACACCCTAAAGCCCCCATATGTAAAGTCCCAGCTCACAACCCGTGAGCGGACATCCTTCCTTTCCCTGACATCTTTCCCTGCCCTCCCTGTCATCCTTCCCTTCCCCTTCCCCTTCCCCTTCCCCTTCCCTTTCCCTCTGCCGACCTCTTTCCCTTCCCCAAGGGAAAGATGCCCCATGCAAAATAAATCTGTATCCCGCTGAGAATTCCATCTGTGCCTGGGTGCCTCATCGATCCGCTTGTGCCTTCCATCCACCCGCTCGCTCCCGCACGTTCTCTACCTATCACTGTGAGGTGCCCTTCCCTTTCCAAGCCTACCTACTCAGATCGTGAGTTCAGCCACAAGTGTCCTTTTGGCACCTCACAGAACTCAGCTCTTACTTAGAGGGTCCCACACCAACTCATCTGCCCATGGCTCACATCGTGTGTGTGTGTGTGTGTGTGTGTGTGTGTGTGTCTGTGTGCGTGCGTGCGTGCGTATGTGCGTTGCACTGCAGGACTTGGGCATGCTAGTCAAGTGCTCTATCACTGAGTTGTAACCCCAGCATCTCTCATCTGGATCTCAGCTGCAATAGCTTTCTCACAAAGGTCTAGCACCTACCTACAGGCACTTTCCACACACCCCTGTGCTCTGACTTCTTACTCTACTTATTTGCTTTATTTATGCTCTGGCTTACCACTTTATCTGTGAGGCAGAAAATGAGGAAGAGCACACAGCCTGTATGTGGCACTTTGAGCTGCCTTGTGCTTGATCTGTGTCTGGTCTAGCTCCTTCCTGGCTGGTCATCTCTCCCCAAACCATCTTCTCTTTGGACACAGCCCAACCCCAGGACTGGTCACCCCTTTACCTTCACATTCTCCTACTTCTGACTGCCTCTTGCCTGGAACTGGGGCTCCCTTGTTTGAAACCTCTAAGTGTCACTCACAGCTCATATGCCAATCGCTGAGGCCTGCAGATTCTATGATAAACCCCTTCTGAACAACCTTCCCAATACCAAGGTTATACACCCTTGATCCCAGCTCCTAATGACATCTATCTGGCAGCAGATGTCCAATGGATCTCTAGTGTCCAGTGCCACACCACTCCCTGCCCACCAGGACGTGTTCTACACCATTTGCAAAAGTTTTCTGCATCTCTTCTCACACCTAGCCAACTGTAATGTCCAAATGTCTGGCCATTTCCCATCCATGCCTATCAAAGTCTCTTGAAATTTTTCTCATTCTTTTTGATTTTTCAAGGTTGAAGTGGGTTTCATAATGGCATTTTCATGTAGTCTTTCAACCATCTCTTCTAGGAAGCCTTCCTGGACTCAGGGAACCTGCTCAAGTCTCCTCTGGGTCCTCTCACATATTGTTTTATTTATTTTTTGTGATCCTGGGAATTGAACTTAAGGCTTCAGGCATGCTAGGCAAGCATTCTACAGTAGAGCTATATTCCTAGCTACTCGCTCACATATTATTTTGTATTGTATTATGATGATAATCAGTTGTTGCATAGCAATTTACTCCAAGTTGAAACTTTTCATCCTTGATAGAGGCTCCTTAAGATCAGAGATAAACAACTCACAAGTTTCAGGAAGTTCCTGAAATGTACCAGATTCACAAAGCTCTTAGTGCAAGCTTATGTGCAAGGTGAGGACTGCCAGGGAGAAGAGATTTTAACCTTGCCCAGCTCCTTCAAGTCATGCAAAAGGCTCCAGGGAAGCAGACTTTGTGTGTTGTCACCTAGGCTGAGGTGGGCTTTGCAGAGATGCAGAGGCCTTTGTACAGTTCCTCCCCTTGTAAGTAACCCTTCACCTATATACCAATAAACTCATTGGTTCGCCAAACTGCATTTTGGTAGAATTGTCTTTTTGGTCTGTTGTTGGTGCCCTATCTAGAGTGAGTAGATGCTTGTTCAAGTCCCCCCCGGAGGTCACACAATACCGATGCTTACTGAACATGAAAGAAGCAAAGCATGGTGACTGATGTGTGCCTGCAGTTCCAGCTACTCACCAGGCTGTGGTGGCAGGATCACTCCAAGTACAGAAATTGGAGTCCAGCTTGGGTCTATAGGAAGATTCTGTTTCAAAAGATTCCGGTAGGGCCTGGGGATGTAGCTCAGCTGGTAAGAGTGCTTGCCTAGCATGCATGGAGCCCTAGATTCCATCCCTAGCACTGCTTAAACCAGGCATGTAGTGCATGCCTATAATCCTAGCACTGGGGAGATAAAGGCAGGAGGAAAAAAAAGAAGGGAGGGAGAAATCAAGGAAGGGAAAAAGGAAGGAAGGAAGGAAGGAAGGAAGGAAGGAAGGAAGGAAGGAAGGAAGGAAGGAAATTCCCAAATGCTAACTTTTTTTAAAGACTCTCATGTCGTCCATGCTGGTGCTGTCTGGCAAAGTAGCAGAGCATAACCCTGAACTTCTTGCCTTCACCTCCAGATTGCTAGAATCAAGGTGTACCACCATACCCATTGTATGCAGTGCTGGAGATAGAACCCTGGGTTTCCTATGTGCTAGGCAGGCACTCTACCGACTGAGTTTCATTCCCAACCCAGACCCATTATTAAACCAAAACACTGGGAGAGTTGAAGAGATGGTTCAATGGTTAAGAAAGATTACTGTTCTTCCAGAAGACCCAGGTTAAGTTCCCAGCACCCACATCAGGCTGCTAACAACCATCTGTAACTCCAGTTCCAGAGGTACCTTGCATTCATGTGGTTCACATAAATTCACACAGGCATACACATATTCACATAAGTAAAAAGAAATCTTAAAAATAAAACATTGGGGAAGGGAGGAGGTGTCAAGTTTAATCTATATGAATCTTTACAGGCACTTTTCTTTTTACAAGTTTACAAGGAATCCTTGAGAAAATCAGACTCTGACTTAGGATCTACCCCAGGGCTCAGTCAATACTTAATGCCAAAATCATCCCAGCTCCAGCCAGAGGCAGCCACTCAGCTCACCCACACTCCTCAAAGATGTCCGGGTAGTGCCGGAAGAGCACGGGTGGGTCCCGGTCACCTCGGACTGGGGCTCGAGGCACAGCCCGGATTCCAGGCCTTCGTCCACGCCTACCCCCTGAACAGGATCGGTGGATCCACTGGTGCGCTTCCACCGCGAACTTCCTCTTGAAGCGCATTCCGCACTCCGGGCAGGGGAAGGGTCGCTCACCTGAGTGCATGCGCCTGTGGCTGACCAGCAAAGAGGGGTAGGTGAAGCGGCGCCCACAGTCGGCACACACGTGGCGCCGCTGGCTGGCCTGAGCGTCTGTGCCGGTCACCTGGACAGGAAGCTGGGCACCTGCTATCTGGTCCCTGGCAATTTTGGTAGGTGTTTGCGCTCCTGCCAAGGCCTTGCTGACAGTTGAGTAAGTATTGTGTTTAACCACCTCTTCAGGCTGCAACTGCCCAGGAGTTGCTTTCCACCCCTTGACGCCTTGTCTTTCCTCTCCAGGCCCTTCCTTGGGTTCCTGCTCCTTCTTTGGGGTGTCTCCTGAGAAATAGGAATTAGATGACATTTTTAAAAACACATTTGTCTCACTGGGGACAGTGGCACATGACTGTAATTGGAACATTTGGGAAAGCAAAGGCAGAAAGATTGTCATGAATTTGAGGTTAGCCTAAGCTACATTGTGGACCTGTCTCAAAAAAACAAAACACTGGCTGCTGGTGCTTGTCTTTAGTCCCAACACTTGGGAGGCAGAGACAGAGGGATCTCTGTGAAATCGAGGCCAGCCTGGTCTACATTGCAAGTTCCAGACCAGCTGGGGCTAGTTTCAAAATAAAAATAAAAATTAATAAAATTAAAAAATAAAGATTATATGCTTAAAAAAAACCAAAACAGTGAAATAAAACACAACACTATTGTATAACTACCTCAGCTTTTACTTACCACAGTGTCAAAACATACAGCCCTAAGACTAGAGAGATGGCTCAGTAGTTAAGAGCACTGGCTGCTCTTGCAGAGGACCTGGGTTCAATTCCCACTACCCACATGGTGACTAACAACCATCCATAACTCCAGTTCAAGGGGATGAGATGGACACCCTCTTCTGGCCTCCGTGGGCATTGCAGACATGGGTGCACTGACATACATGCACATAACCCACTCATACACATAAATCAAAAAAAAAATTTAATGTACGACCTAGTGACTGATTGATGCCAGGTTTTGGTGAAAGAGTTAAAATTTCCTTCCTCATTGGGGCTGGGTGTGGTGGACACACCTTTAATCCCAGCACTTGGGAGGCAGAGGCAGGTGGATCTCTGTGTTCCAGGCCAGCCTGGTCTACATAGTGAGTTCCAGGACAGCTGGGGCTACAGGGAGACCCTGTCTCAAAAAGACCAAAAAAAATAAAATAAAAATTTCCTTCCTCATGTGTCAAATGGGAAAAAATGTTTTCTTGACTTCACAGGGTTAGAGGAAGGTTTAAATAAATAGGTGGTTGTTAATCAGTAAATGCTCAATAAATAGTAGTTACTAGTGTAGTTTCTTTCTTGTTCTCTTTTCGTACAGTGAGACGTCTACAGATGAGGAACCGTATTTGTTTCAGATTTCTTATTTCAGGCTGGTGATGGGAGAAGAGCCAAGTTGCCAATATCCAGCCATTTTTCTCACACCACTTTAAGGCAGACCTGAAACCAGTTCCACTCTTAGGAGGCATTTTAGTTGTTTTGAACGGAGAATAGGTTGTATTTTCTAACAGAAGCACCTGGAAACCTAAAAGTTCTTTGGGCTCCAGATTTTTCTACTCTGTCCTAACGTGACTGCGAGCTCACGTTTTGAAAACTGTTACAGGTTGTTTTTCTTTCCTCCAGTATCCCACATGTTGGCTCTTTAATTTCTGTAGGGCTGCTGAAATGGGGGACCTGAAAGAAGACTTCACTAGAAGGAAACCCTGGACAAACAAGATGGGAGAAGCCTGGGACAATCCCTCACCTCTCCGAGCTCTTCCCAGGCTTTCCCCCTCCTCAGGATCCTGGGCGGCGGGGCTCCAAGCCTCATTCTCCTGTTCCATCCAAGAGATGAGGGCTGGTTTGGGGCCCGGGAATCCTGGGAGAGAACAGGGATCACACTGCTGGCCTGAATGGCCCGGGAAGATCGCATCCCCTGCTAGGGTAAGGGCACCTCCTTAGCACTTATGCTCAAATCAACCTGGACAGGGTCTGTGATGCTCTTGCCAGAAATGTAGACTTTGCGGGATGGAGACTCCCGAGGACCCGGGTACCTGAAGCCCGGGAATGGGAGATAGCTGATGCTGTTGGTGGAAAAGTGAGGGGTTAGGGCTCACGGTCCACTTGGTCTGCCTACGTCGTCTCCCCTGTGAACCCGGGAGAAGGGGGCGGGGGGCTCCGACCCCGAGCCTCACCGAATGCGCCCAGGAGGCCGTAGGTCTCGCGCATCACCTCCCGGTACAGGGCTCTCTGCGCGGGCCGCAGATACCCCCACTCCTCCGGGGAGAAGTATACGGCCACGTCCGCGAAGCTCACCGCCCCGGGCTCCCCGATCTCCCCGGGTCTCAGCGCCCATAGCCGGGCTGGGGGTGGCGCCATGGCGCCCCCCAGCCCCGGGCCCCGCCGGCCAGCTTTCGGCACCGCTGGGTCGGCGGCGGAAAGCGCCGCCCAGGCCACACCCAGCCGCGGCTGCGGTGGACGCTGCGCTGGACCCGGGGCCGGCCGCGGGGGGCTGAGGGACTCGGGGCTGAAGGGGACGAGCAAGGCTCCGGAGGGTTGGTGCGCCTCCCAGCCGCCCGGACCTCGGTGGACAGGTCCGGAAGGTGCCTTTAGCAAACATGGCGACAGCCCGGCGTCAGCCACGGGGTCCCCCCAGGCGCCGTTGCTCCTGCAGCCCTGGCAGGCGCCTTTCGGCCCTCCGTTGCCTGCAGCATCCCCTCGGCCCGCGCATACAGAGGCCGCAGCAGGGCCGGTGGTTGTGTTGTTTGTTTTAATGCGTGTCGGGAGGACGTGCTGGGTAGTCCAGGCAAACCCTGCCTTCAAGAAAGATGGACCGCCGCAGCTTCGCAGACCTCTGCGCGCCGGATAGCGGCGGCCGATGATTGGCTGGAGCCGCCAGGAGAAGCCGTGCGCCCATTGGTTCCGGACCAGCGGGCATTTGCAAAGACTGGGGGGACCTTGAGCAGCAGATGCCCTGGACAGTGTCTGCCTCCTGCTCCCGGCCAGGAATCTGCGGGTGGACCCTGCAGCCTTGCACGGAGCCGCCGACTAAGGAATGTGCTTAGTGAGAATGGCATTAGAATACGGATTTTTTTGTTGTTGTTGTTCTTTTTGAGACAGGGTCTCCCTGTAGCCCCAGCTGGCCTGGAACTCACTATGTGGACCAGGCTGGCTTTGAACTCACAGAGATCCGCCTGCCTCTGCCTCCTGGGTGCTGGGATTAAAGGCGTGCGCCACCACGCCCGGCTAGAGTGCGGATTTTTAAAAAATATTTTTATTTTATGTGTATGCGTGTATTGCCTGTGTATAGAGGTAAGTGCATCCGTGTGTACGTGAGTGCACCCGTGTCGTGCAGTGCCACGGAGGTCAGAAGAGGGCTTCGGATTCCCCTAGAACTGGAGTTAAGGACGATTCCTAGCCGCCATGTGGGTGCTGGGAATCGAACCCAGGTCCTCTGAAAGAGCAGTCGGTGCTCTTAACCTCTGAGCCATCTCTCCAGCCCCTGTAAACGCTTTTTTAAAAAATTTAATTTGAGGGGCTGCAGAGATGGCTCAGCGGTTAACAACGCTGGTTGGTCTTGAAGAAGTCCCGGGTTCCGGTCCCAGCACCCACATGCTGTAACTCCAGTTCCAGGGGATCTGACAGCCTCTTCTGTCCTCCGCAGGCATTGCACAACACGGGTGCACTTACTTACATGTAAGAAATACACATAAAATAAAAACAATTAAAAAAATAAAATATTTTTTTAAAAAATTATTTGAAGCCGGGCGGTGAAGCACACCTTTAGTCCCAACACTCGGAAGGCAGGCAGATCTCTGTGAGTTCAAGGCCAGTCTGGTCTACATAGTGAGGTCCAGGCCAGCTGGGACTACAGGGAGACCAGATGTCTTTAAAAAAGACCAAAAATAAATAAATAAATATAAATATTTAAGAAAAATGTAAAAAGAATTCTATTTTCTGCCCTGCCGTTCCTGTCTCACATAATACTCTCTGTTTAGTACAGCTTCTGATGCTCTCGCCTCCTTTCCTTTTTTTGGTCTTTTTGAGAAAAGGTCTCCCTGTAGCCGCAGCTGGCCTGATTTGCTAATGGAGACCAGGCTGGTCTCAAACTCACAGAGATCTGCCTCCCTCTACCTCCTGAGTGCCCTTTTTTTTTTTTTTTTTTTTTTTTTTTTTCCTTTTTTTTGAGACAGGGTCTCACTATGTTGCCCAGGCTGGCCTCCTCCCTCTCAAGTGCTGGGATTAAACACATGTACCATCACAGGCAGAGTACTTTTTAAAATTATGTTGCTTATTTATTTTTATTTTACATGTATGTGAGTTTTGCCTGCATGTATGAAAGTGCACCCATGTTGCACAATGCCTGAGGAGGCCAGAAGAAGGCAATGGAGTTAAGAATAACAAATCGGTGTCGGTACAGCCAGTGCTCTTGACTGCTGAGCCAGCTCTTCAGTTCCCCCCACCCCCAAGTGTATTTTTTTCTTAATTAAAAAGTTTTTATGGGGCTAAACCTGGGTTCAATGGAAGTGCTAGCCTGCCTGACCCAGAGAAGCACACTTTGTGAGAACTAACAGAAAGGAGCCTGAGCTGCTGCAGCCCATTCCCTATGAGTTCATGGCTTAATGTACAAGAAGAAATAAAAGACCTAGATGTAAAAAAAAAAAAAAAAGTTTTTATGGATCTAACAACCATCTGTAACTCCAGTTCTGGGGGAATCCAACTCCTTCTTCTGACCTCCTCAGGCATTGCCCGACACGGGTGCACTTCCACACATGCAGGTAATACAGTCACACACATAAAATAAAAATTATTTTTTTAAGTTTTATTACACTCACTAGTGTGTGTATGTGTGCAAGCATACATATGCCATAGCATGCATGTGGTGGTCAGAGAACAACTTTCAGGAGTTGGTTCTCACCTTCCACCATGTGAGTCCCAGCAATCAAACTCGGGTCATCAGGCTTGTTGGCAAGTACCTTTACCTGCTGAGCCATCTCCCAGGCCCAATTAGTTTGAAACAGGTCTTGCTGTGTAACCTTGACTGACCCAGAATTTGCTTTGTAGACCAGTTATGTTAGTTACTTTTCTGTTGCTGTGATAAACAGTGGCCAAAAGCATCTTGGGAAGGGAAGGGTTTATTTCATCTCACAGATTACAGTCCATCATCAAGGGAAGCCAAGGCAGGAATTCAAGGCAAGAGCTTGAGGCAGAAGCCACAGAGGAATGCTTCTTACTGACTTGCTCCTACCTGTCTTACAGCCCAGTTCCACCTGCCTAGGGATGGCACCACCCATAGTGGGCTGGGCCATCCCATATCAATCAGCAATCAAGAATCCTGGGCATGGCAATAGGCCAGGCTGGTGGAGAAAATTCCTCAGCTGAAATTTCCTCTTCCCAGGTGTGTCAAGATGACATCCAAGATAAACCATGCACCACACTATCCTGAAAGTTTCATTGATCCTCTTCCCTCAGCCTCTGTAGTGCTGGGATTACAATTGTGTACCACTATACTGGGTATAATGATTAATCTTGGTTCCTAACTCAATTAGATCCAGAATCAACTAAGAAACACACCTCTGGGCAGGTTTGCGAGGGTACACCTAGGAAGGATGAACTGAATGGACAAGACCCTCCCCCAGAGTGTAGCACCTTAGGGAAACAGCTCAGATATAAAGAGATCTGAAAGCAGGGACTGGAGAGATGGTTTAACTGAGGACCCAGGTTCGATTCCCAGCACCCACATGATGATTAACTCCTGTTGCAGTGTATATGACGCCCTCTTCTGGCATTTTTGGACATTGCACACATGTGGTGCATTTATATACATACAGGCAAAACACTCATAACATAAATACAATTAATTTTTTTTTTAAATTTTTTGGTCTTTTTGAGACAGGGTCTCCCTGTAGCCCCAGCTGTCCTGGAACTCACTATGTGGACCAGGCTGGCCTTGAACTCACAGAGATCCGCCTGCCTCTGCCTCCCCAGTGCTGGGACTAAAGGCATGCGCCACCACGCCCGGCCAAAAATTTTTTTTTAATATGTATGAGTGTATTGCTTGCATGTATGTAAGTGGACCCATGTCATGCAAAGCCAGCAGAGGCCAGAAGAGGGTGTCGGATCCCCTGGAACTGGAGTTATGGCAGTTGTTAACCATCATGTGGGTGCTAAGACTCAAACCTGGGTCCTTTGCAAGAACAACCAGTGTTCTTAATCACTGAGCCATCTCTCCAGCCCCATACAATCAAATGTTTTTTAAAAAAGATCTGAAGGGAAAGCAGCACTGTGCCTGGTCCCCCTTGTGCTCATCTACTGTGTTGTCACTGCCACCATCCTTCTCTGCCATCCCATACCAGGTCTTCAGCTGTTACTGGACTCCCAGCCTCTATCGTATAAGCCAGTCTAATACATCCCCATTGTAAAGACTGTTCATTCTTCCAGTTCTGCTCCCCTAGTGCATCCTTACTAATACACCCAGCTTGCTTGTTTGATTTTACCGAAAGTTCCTTAGCTGCCTCATAGCACTCATTGTGGTCAGTAGAAGGAGTATGGTGTTCTGTTCTCTGCAATTCTCTTTGCAAGATATGAAAATAAGGTGTGAAAATGAATGGATAAAACAACAAAAAGATGGGTTGGCATGTGCAAAGCAGAAAGATGAAACTGTTAATTATGGAATCTAGGTAATGGGCATAGGAACGTTTGCCTGAAAATTCTCTCAACTCTTGAATGAAGCTTTTTATAATGAAATATTGTTGAAGATAGCTCAGCCATTTGCTCTTCAAACTTCCTGGCTATTCTATCTTATTTCAGATAACCCATGAAATTGCCATTAGCTCCAATTTACAAATGAAATAACTAATGCTCACAAATGGTTAATCACGGGCTTAAGGCCACATGCCTTGTGAAGACTATATTGAGGCTGGAAACCAGGTCTGCCCAAACAGGAGAGGCTGTGCAGTGAGGTAAAAAAAGAACACCCAGTTCCCATTAACAATCGTTTTTGTACTCCAAGACTCAGAGAAGTCTTTCTTGAGAGAGATTTTTGAGTCGGCCTGCACCAATCTTGGCTTGAAAATATGGTTAGCCCTATCCACCCAGCCATTTATTCCTGCAAGTTTCATATTCAAAAGTAGGGCTCTGAGAGGCTGGAGAGTTGGCTCAGCGGATAAGAACACTGACTGTTCTTATAGAAGACCTGGGTTCGAATCCCAGCACCCACATGGCAACTAACAACTGTCTGTAACTCCAGTTCCAGGGGATCCAACAGTCTCTTTGTCCTCCTCGGGCATTGCATGACACAGGTACACTTACCTACATGCAGGCAATTACATGCATACACATAAAAATAATAATAATAATAAAGTAGGGCTCTGAATGGTGAACACATATAGGCATAACAATAAAGTTTAGACTAGAGAGACTATGCCTTGCTTTCAACTCTAATTACAAATAATTTACTCTGACTTAAAGTCCCTGCCTGCTGTGACCCAAGAACACATTTTTGTCTAAAACACACAAAGCTCAGGGAACATGCGAATTCAGGGGAAGCATACATTGCAATCACGAATGGAAACACTGAAAAGAGAAGTCATTTGTAAAGTGCACTATATTTGGTACTTTTGTGTGCTTTGTGCAGAGTAAGCTTGGGCACGCAAGAGAGTGGCCACGTGAAGCCACCATCCTTCGTGACCTAAACTAGGTTTTCAAGAGTGCCAACAATGGCTTGACGTCACATGTCTCCTTGCCAGGTGGTTCACTTGCACTGACTAAATGA